AGGAATGCTGATGTCATCACCAGGAGGCATGCCTATATGTTTGATAGGACAACTCGTGGTCACAAGTTCAGTAAGCGGCTCCAAATTCTCAATAGCACTACCACTGGATAATCCAGTGCCAATTTCCATTGATTCATTTTCTGCAAGTTCAGAGCCGGGCCTCTGTCTTTCTTCCAATGGTTTACAACAAGCTCTGTCAGAAGGAAACTCACGTGTCTGTCCAGATGTAGTTTGTTGAGAGTATGAACCTTCATCAATCAGGTCACTATTGCTTGCCTCTATAAGTGACAGTCCTGCATCTTCAGCACGAGAATCATTGGCTAGATCTTCAAGTGATGCTTGTGAGGTTTCATTTGCAATGCAGCTTGACAATTCTGTGTTGCTATTCCTAGGTTCATCCAGTAGAATACTAGAATCAATTGCTTTTGATGATTCACTACGCACACAAGCAGTATTCACACTTGTAGCACTTGGCTCGAGTTTCTGATCCATAGCGGTTGATATAGGTCTTGGACTATTATCAAACGGATCACTCCTTGCATTGTCAGGAGGTGGGTCCAAATCAATAAGCAAACTTTTTGTTAAATCGTCAGTAGATGGTTGCACAACTTCACCAGAACAAGATTGGAGAACTGCAGCACTGCTATCTCCAGCTTCAGTTTGTATGATTTCACACTCAAGCTTATGTCTCTCTTCTGGATATCCACCAAACTTGTATTCAGCACTGGGTTCATGCGTATTTTCCAGTGTAGTTTGTGCAGGGCATGAATAACTTTTAGCATGAGAAACTTTTGATGGAGAAACACCCATGTGCTCAGCCTTGGACATAGGCTTTAAGTAAAATATATCAGCTCTCTAGAATTCAAAATCCAACTTTGTATTTGAAGGGTCTTCCCTCAAAACTACTGTGAAAAGAACAAGTAGAAGTCACTACAAATAGCATGGATGTTGTTCTCCTATCTTTTTTCCATACACTTGCAGCATACATTAAACATCGGCAAATTTCTTTGAGGGAGAGAGGGGATCAGATCTCAAAAAAATAGTCTATATAAACACGCATGGACAAAGCAAGGCAGTGAGCTATATATGACTAGACAAATAAGGAATAATAGTTGCACCAGATTTTTACTTCGTCTTCACATGAGTAGATTCAAGCAAATCTTCTTAAGAACTCAAGTCTGTCATCGTCCCTTCAGTTGCACTAATTGTTCACTAATAGACCGCTATTAAGCAAGTTCACCACTATAAGAAAGAAATGGTTATCTGGAAGCTTTGAACTCTCTCCCTCGCATCGAATGGCAACATTTGCATTTCCGCGTAAACGACATGAGTCAGTAAAAGAAAACTTAGCAGTGCACTTGCAACACTTTGCATCAAACACGTGCATCTTCTTCTTTTTTTTCCAATTATCAAAGTTGTGCAAACCTAGCTAGCATCAATTAACAGGATAAGTGATAAATTGTTGAATATAATAAATTCTAGCCTCCATGGTCCAAAACCTCTTCTCTCATTCCCTGGCAATCATTTAGCACTAAGCTGATATGACCTTAAAAACATATTCCCTGCTCTCTCTCTCTTTTTCTTTTTAATGCATAATTTACTTGCCATAAACTAAATTACATGTAGATTGCAGGGCTCCAATTTATATATATATAATTCTAATTCTTCTTCTCTTTCTCTTTCTCTTTGTTTTTTTATGAGAGAGAGAGAGAGAGAGAAATCTATCAAAGAGCTTCTTCTTCACTCGGGCGACATTTCTACGCAACATTCCTTTTAAAGCTCAAACAAAACAAAAGCATGGAACACCTAAACAGGTTTTATCTTCTCTCTAAACTCAACTTTTATCGGAGATTTTAGTTCATCTTCTCCAGTTTCCTAGAGAAAGGGCGAATAAAAAGGGGATATATAGAAAAATGAAACTGATATAACTTTAGTTTAGAGAACTGACCTTCGCATTTTATTTTTGCTGCATATAGTAGCAGTTTCTGCACAGTAGTTTTGATTTGGAAAGAGCGAGGGAGAATTTGTGACGAGCGAAGAAGAAGAAGAAAAAAGCGGTTGATTGTGGTGGAGGTGGTGGTGGAGAGTAAAAGAAGCCTCTAAATCAGGGCCACCGTCGCTAAGAAAAAAAGAGGGCTTTCCGTTCCTGCTATTGTGCGCTTTCGGTGATATCTGTTTTGTGTTTCCCGATGTTCCTTTTATGGGCCGATCTGCATTTGTGTATTGGGCCATAAGCAGATAAAAGTAATATGGCAATTTTTACTCTGCTAAAAGTCTGCGCCTGTTCGACAGCCTGCATGTGTGGGCTCACGCCTCTGTCAGTAAACATTGCCTAAAAATTTGGATTCCAGCCTCTAATTGGAAATCGAATTCAGCATCTCCACTTTGTCAGAATCTCCGTTTAAATTCTCTGTATGCGGATTCTATATGTGCACTAGCTTAGAAATTGATTCCAGCCTTTAACTGCATAATAGTGGATTCCAATTCCCTTTTTTCTATGCCATATGGGTTGTTTTTTAATCCTATAAGAAGATGAAAGGAAGCTCAACCTTGAACCTCGTACCAGTTGGGCCACCACCCAATCGGTTTTATCGTTGGGTTTTAGCCGAAGAGTTTTTTTTGTTTGGGTTTCTAGTTAGGATCTATGGTGTTTGAGGGTTCTGATAGGACTTCTCCACTCTCACCAGTTTTAGCAAAGGTGCCAAAGATAAATTAGCAAAGTTTGGAACTAAAAGTAGGAAGCAGCTATTTGGGTTTTGTATCTCCCCACCGTCTGGATTGAACTTGCTTCTGTGAACAAATATAGCTGCCACTCTCTTTGAGTTTTTCTTTTTCTTTTTCTTTTTTTATCTTGCTCTTTCTTTTGCCCCCAGAAAAACTTACCCACTCTCAAATATTAATTCATTAGAAAATTAAGTGAAAAAATTAAAGCACACCAGTCTTGATGCCTTATTAGTTCTGAATTGGGGTCACATGACTTGCATGGGCATGCATGTATCACATGAGACTAGCTTATTGGCCGTGTTATGTGTTGTGCCTAAGATCGAAGCAAGTTTTTTTTTCAAACACCAAAAAACATTTAGGCATCATTAACTATTAATTTAAAATCATTTGCACATTGAATTTTTTTAATATAAAGATAGAAACATATTAGATATATTTAAGTCAATTTAGGTTGACATACAAGATTTGTAGAGATAATATTAAAAAAAATAAATTAAAAATCAAAATCTTCAATTAACTCAATATTAAATGATAAAATTAATAAAAAAACAAAATTCTTTAAAAAAAGACATGTGTTTTTAAATAAATTAACCAATTAACCAATCTCGTAATGCAAGTCATGCATAATATCGAATTCAATAAAAAATTTATCCCATAAATTATTTTTTATTAGATATATTTATATGACAATAAAATACATGAGAATTTTTCGTATGAAATATTATATAAAAAAAATTATGACAAGTGTGTTGGAACTAAGATAACAAAAGCAAATGATTGAAAACAAATGGTCAAATTGTATTTTTTTTTTATGTTAAATAAAAAAATAAATCACCAATAACAAAATAATAATTGCATTATTTTTCTTTTAAACTAAGGGACAAAAATTGCATTAAGAAAATAGATCAAATATTATAGCTTAACCTGTCGAATTCATGATCCATCATATAAATTTTATCAAATTTAATATTTTTTTTCATTAATCTATAGTTAACCTAAATATACTAAAAAACAAAAATAGCAAAAAAAAACCCAACACCGTAGATCCATGACCCATGAAAGGAAAAGCACATGCATGTAGGCTTTTCATCCCATGATTTGGTGTGAATTATACTTTGCCTTTATAGTTTGAAAAATTATATTTTGCCTCCTATAATTTATAATTTGGAGAATACTTTACATCCTTTTAAAAAATTCAACAAAATTTGTTTAAATATTTACAAGATTCCTATTATTTCTTAAAAATAACTATAAAGACCCTAAAACAAAAATATAATAAAAATTATCACTCCAACTCCCCACATTTTTACTAACAACAACAAGCATCATATTTCCATAACCAATAGACATTCTTTCATTTCCATTAATTGTTATAAAAAAATTATAATCATTCCCTAACCTTTTCAATCTTTTTCACCAACAAATTTTAGTCATTCCCAAAACTTTTCCAACTACTACCACAAATAATTCTCAAACTTTTTTCGGTTACCATGTAACAACATTAACAATTTCATATATTTTCAACTTTATTTCCTATAAAAAATTTCTATTTTTTTTTAATTGATTTCCTATAAAAAATTTCTATTTTTTTTTTGAATTGTTTTTTTTATATAAACTTAGTTCTATAAGAATTTTATCAAAATTTTAACAGATTTTCCCTTATACTAGAAGATTTCAAGTTATCGATAAAATACCCGTAACACTTCAATATACTCATCACACATGCAACTCAATCTTTATTCAACCATCCTGGACTCACCATTTCGCAACACATGCCATCACAATCATTACAGTTCATTTTAATATCACTTCAATCATTTAATTATGATGTTAAAGATTCAATTCAAATATCTATAAATATAAGTTATATGATACTATTAGTCTAAATAATGACAAAAGGGCATAATACATCATTATTACTACCATAAATAAGTTAGAGTTATATTTACATCATTTAAGGAAAATTGATATTGAGTTACAAAAGGATAATTATTACAATCCTTTAAAAAATTAACAAAAGATCCCTAGATGATAGATATCTAATATATCCTTTAAAAAATTAACAAAAGATCCCTAAGCATTGTTACAATACTTAATTGATCCCTTGTCTATTAATAAAAGATCCTTATGTCCATTACCGAACCTTATTCTCATTATCAAGAACTAATTTCTTCTGCCCGTTTATTAAGCATCAAACCCATCACCATGATCCAGTTTCATTGCCCCTTACAAGCATCAATCTTATCAGTAGAAAAGTACTTTCTTTCTCTATATATACTTTTTAAATTAAATATATAAAATAGCATAACATATCAAAAACATTATAACAACAATCTAAAAAAAATACTAAAGCGATAGACACCTACCTACAATCGAAGATTTCAGAGTATCTTTTTGTTGTTGCATAGCTCCTAGAGCCTCTCCTGTATCAATAGGTATATCAAAATTTCTTATTATATTCATTTCTGAATAAATTGTCATTTCTAAACATTTATCTAACAATTTAAACTAACAAATTTCTTCTAAACATTTATCTAATAATTTAAACTAACAAATTTTAGACGATTCATCATAATCAACTCTTAACATTGTTTTATATTTTAATCATAATTGTAATTGTAGAAATCTATTTTATGCATGGTTTATTTTTTTTGGAAAGATAAAACATATTTATAAAATTCTGACAAGAACACTAAACCCAGTTTTGCCATCTAGACACCTAAACTCACAAATTACACTAGCATATAGAAACTTCTTATAAATGTTGGGTTACACCTTTCTTTTATTTGTATTTCATAATTGGAGTTTTATAACTCCAATTTAAATTAGGCAGATAAGTTTAAAAACTAACAAACATACCTACAACTTTTATGAAGGAACTTATTTTAAATTTTATCATCTTCAAGTCCTATTTTCAGCTAAACATCAAGGGATAAAGTTATCTTGTTTTTGTGTTTCTAGGTTTAACAAATAACTAAATGTTTCCATGCAACTTTCCATCATTTATAACAATCATAACCACTTAATTCATTTTATATTATTCTCAATATGATTCTTTCACTCATCAACCTAATCAAATCTATCCTTTACAATTATAACAACCTTTATTAAACCTTTATTCAATCATCACATATCCCAATTAGCATCATGTAACCATCAAAACATACATTTCAACATCTAATCTCATAAACCTATTTTTTCATAAGACTCTGGCAACTTAATCATTAAGATATACAAAAATTTAGAACAACTTAATTAAATAAGTTTGTTACCTCCCACAACCAAGAAATCAAACGAGAATTTCTAAGAAAACCAAGTTCCTTTCACTCTTTATCTTTTACAACAAGCATTTCAATCGAAATTCAAACTATAATTCAATTCTTTGAGAAATCATTTCCCTACATAGAAATACATTAATTCATAACAATTTCACTCAATAACATGCTATTATACATTAAGAACCTAAATCCCTTTCTAGTTGACTACTTGGGTTTTTAAGGACCCTATGTTTTTTTCTTCATCAATTCCATTAAGTTTAACACCCAACACAGCTTAATCTAACTCAATTTGATTAATTTATAGTTAATTTTATTTTCCCTAAATTTTTCTATAAAACCTAACCTAAAATCCATGATTTTTACTTCAAATATTATTTGAATTGCATGAAATTGCTAGAATAGGTCTAAAACTTCTTATCCTATATTATTCTAGTCTTCAAATCGCAATCAGTCAAAATTCCTTCCTACTATGTAACTTATGCAACCTTTCCCTTTGGTTTTCTTATCTTTTCTCTTTTGATTATACATTTAAGATGCAGTGTGAAACAATTTTCCTCAATCTCCCCTTAAATCTTTGATTTTTCATGGTTTTCTTTTCCTAAATTTTAGTGGAAATTAAGGCTATTTTCTCTTCCCCTTTCTTTGTTGAGTCCAAAGAGAGAAAAAAAGAAAGCCCTTTTTATTATCTTTTCCATGGCCATTTAAGTTGCAATTACTACTAATTGTCCTTTAGGTTTTTAATTAATTTTTTCTTTCCATTTATCAAGTGTCTTGTCATTTTTATTTCTTTTTTTATTTTATTTTTAATACACCATCCCTATTTTTTATATTAAAAATTCCTTAAATAATAATTTAATCCATTTTATTTCAAGTTAATTTTATTTATTTTTTTAGCCTAGAGTCTACACACTATCACAAGCAATTTGTAAACATTTCCTTTTTAATTTCAATCATTTCTCCTAATGTTTTTAACCATTGTGATTAAACAACTTATCAAAATCATTTACAGTGACAAGTATCAATATTCTGAAACAGAATCTAACATTTTATTTAAGTCATTTCTCTTAATATTTTCAACTATAACAATCAAACAACTCATTAACATCATTCAGAGCTAATAAATCCCAACCATTTCACTCAATATTTTCAAATGTGTTGATCTAACATATACTTTGAAACATTATAACAGCATTTAAAATTGAAT